ATTCCTAGCACACATAAAGCATTCAAGAAATGCCATCTGATATTATTTTATACTATTACTGATATTTTAGCAACCATCACTGAGCTAAAATGTGAGAGTTCTTGGATTCAAACCCAAATCATTCTGGATCCGGAGGTAAAAGAGAGAGAACGATAACCTTATTTTTTAAAGAGGCCAATAAAAGTCTTTTGCTTTAATGTTTTTGTTGCATTTACTACATGCCAGGCACAGTGTTAGCCCCTGAAAAACAGAACAAATAAGATTATTCTATTGAGAATCTTACAGGCGAGTGGAGTGTAGTAGTAGACCGTGTGGTTTGCTCATCTTTTTGTCCTTCCCTCATCTTTCTTGCACAGCCCTTCCCAGTCTGTTTGACTTGCTTTGGCCAATGGAATGTGAGATGTGAGCAGACTAGCAAAGGCTTTAAACGTATTTATAGATGTGTTGGCTTGCCCTCTTGTGCTGCTAGTATTTGTCACAAGAAATGTGTGTGTAGGGTAACCACTGGCCCAGAAAGAGAGACACATGGAGTAGGCTGTGCTCCAATCCAAAGTCTGGAAGTAGATGGGCCCAGCCAACCACAGCTGAGACCAGCTGAACAATGGCCAACCTGACCATGAAATCAATCACTGTTGTCGTAACCAGTAAGACTTTAGAGCTGCTTGTTATACCTCACGGTTGGAGGAAAATCTAATACACAAAGAGACTGAAAGCAAGCCAATTAGCATGCATAGTGGCATTTGGACGGTTTGCTAGAAATCTGAAGATGCCCTGCAAAAGGTACAAAGGAAGAAAGGATCACATTGGCCCAACAATCCTCTTTTCTACAGCATCATCATTAATGGATCAATCCCATCAATACATACATAGGCTTCAGTTTTTATCATCAGTAAAAATGCTCATTTTGATCCCACATACTCCATTTTCCTTCACTCTTTCATAGTAAACTCCTTGAACACTTTATTCCCATTGTCACTAATTTCTCACCTTTCTTTCTCTCTTGCATTCTCTCCAATCAGGATTTCACTCCCAACTAGTTCAACCAAACAGCTCATCAACGGCACTGATGACCTCCATGTTGTTAAACAACAGCCAATTTTACTTGTTCAACTCTTTGGCAGTATTTGACCTAATAAATCACTCTTATCATTCCTTCCTCCTTGAAATGCTGTCTTCACTCACCTTCCAGGATACAATATCTTCTTACTGACCACTGGCCACACTCTCTCATCTCCTTAGCTAGTTAGTTCCTCTTCAAATGGAAATGCCCCAGAGCTTAAGTAACAGACTGTTTCTCTTTTCCACAATCATTCCAATTTATGATTTGATACATGCCCCATTTGCAATGCCTCTCAGTTTTATATGTTCAGTTTGGACTTGTTACCTGAACATCAGGCACATATCCTTGTCATTCACTAAGTGCTCTCCACTTAGATATTCAACATACATCTCAAAGAAGAGAGAAATAAATGTTGGCATGGATGTGGAGAAATTGGAGCCCTTGTGTATAGCTGGGGGGAATGTAAAACAATGCAGCCACAGTTGAAAACTGTGGTTTTCAAAAAATCAAACACCGAACTAACATATGATCTGGCAATTTCACTTGCCTTTCTACCCTGGAATATGAACTATATTCAGGTATCTGATTAGTTCATTACTAGACCACAGACTGTGGAAAAGATTCTGTAAATATTTATTGAATGAATGAAACATTGCTTTATCCTGGCAGAAAAGGCATCAAAGTGCAGAAAATATTTGTGTTGGGTTCTGAAAGATGAACAAATGTTAGCCAGGAGGGCAAGAAGGAGAGATGATAAGTTGGAGGAGCACCATGAGCAGGAGGTAGCACAAAGGCATGTGTTGTGTTTTAGATCTAAAATGTTCCCCAAAAGTCTCATGTGTTCAGAGATGAGGCCTAACTGAAAGAGGGGGTTACTTGGGGCATGACCTGGAAGGGTGTATTCTTGTCCCTGGCTCCTCTCTTCTCTCTTTACTTTCCCTCTCTGCTTCCTAACTGCCACTGCTTGAGCAGCTTTTCCCCACTGCCTCCTTTTGCCATGTTGCTTCTGTCTTGGAGCCAACCAACCATGGACTGAATCCTCTGAAAACCATAGCCAAAATAAACCTTTCTTCCCTTAAGTTCTAGGTGTTGGGTACTTTGTCCCAGCAACATGAAGATGACTAATACAACATGCAACAGAGGAGATTGTGAAGGACCATGCAAATGGAGTGCTCCTGTCCAGACCCAGGGTGAAGGACACTGGAAGCAGAGGAGAGGACAGAATGATACAGTGCTTTACAGGGGTTAGACACATGAGGTCTAGCATCCATGTTAAGGAGCTTGTGATTTATTGTGTTCATGAAGTAGTGGTGACCATGCAGACTCCCATGCTTCACCCCAGAGATCCTGACATGGCAGGCCATCCAGGGTCTGCATTTTTAATTTTCAGTTGCAAGGGGCCCTCAGACTCTGAAAGCCTCATGGATGTATACTTTGGGCAACTTTGGCGAATGCTAAATAAAGGACTTTTTCCCATAAGATTTAACCTTTCAGAAATTACGGAGACTAAAATTCTCCTTTAATTATCTTTTGAACCAGTGTCCTGACTATAGAGTGCAGTCTGGATGCAATGAGGGAAGAAGAAGAGTTAGGGAATAGGGAAGGCTGAATTAGAGCAAGGGAAAGGAATGGGGTTCAGGTTCAAGAGATGAAGATGAGGAAGAGTAGCAGGGCAAGTGATTCAGGAGAGAGAAGAGTCCAGAGGATGTTCTGTCTCGTGTGACTGAGGGGATGGCCACACCACCCTAACTCAGAAGCACAGCACCCTGGGACACAGTATGGTGCCTTTGACTCATATCTGCACCCACAGAGGACTCTTCATTTCCCAAGCACCAATTCAGAGAAGAGGACTGGCTAAGTCTTCAGGAGTTAGTCTTGAACTGGGTGCTGAAAGGCACAGAAGAACACAGGTCATGTGATTGCTGCCCCTTCCTTTATGGAAACAGGCTGGAACAGGTCCCAGGCAAGGCTATGCTCCTTCAAGCAAATGTGCTTACAAGGGATTTCTAGATAGATCCAAGATGCTAATTAAAACCTCATCATTACCCATCAGAGAGCTGTTGGTAGGTGCCTCACTGCACATGGCACTGAACTGTGAGACATAAGCTTCTGAGTAATTGAAACCCAACTGCCTCCCACACCACTATAGACTGAGGCTCAGCTAAAAAGTGAAGACAGTCTCTCAGGGAGCCTCTTAATAGCAGCTCCCTCCAACACTCACACGTGGCCACAGGCCTGCCTTCCTTCCCCCGAGTTCCATAGGCTGCATAAGATGAGTGACTTAGTCACTTTCTTTTCGCTGGGATAAAATACCTGATATCTGCAGCTTAGAGGAGGAAAGGTTTATTTTGGCTCACCCTTTAGTCCATAATCAGCTGGCTAGAGCCTCCTTCAAGGCGGGACAGCAAGGCAGAAGGGCATGGTGGAGAAGAGTGGCTTGTGGCAGGCAGGTGTACAGGAGTCAAAGGAGAAGCAGGAGGGGGCTGTATAATCTTCTGGGTCACGCCAACTGTGACCCGTCTCTTCTGACCAGGCCGCACCTCCTGACAGCAAGTCAGCTCTAATGCCCCTACAATCCAATCACCCCCCCACAAGTCCCACTGTGATTGTACAAGGCTTGAGGGGGCCATAACAACAAGGGACCTGAAAAGGGACAATCCTCAAATCTCAAGTTGTTCAGAGCTTTTGAAAAGCTTCCCTGGCTGGCCAACCTGGCCAGTAGATATGCATGTGTGTGAATGATACTTCTTTTATGAACAAAAAGAAATCTTAATACCTCACCCAGGAAATATTGTGCCAGAAAAGTAATCCAAGCCGGAACATTAAGACCTTTAACCACATGAACAGAAAAGGAACTGTGTAAACGCAAAAGCAGACATTGCAGCTTTTCAAGTTCACCTGCTTAGATCACAATTTTGTACATTTAAATTCTGAAAGCAGGCTTTAAAGGCACAGCAATATAGATGTGCATATCAATGTTTTCCATACAGATGATACAATAATGAGTGCTGATGTTATTTTTACATAGTATTTTTCTAGTTTACCAAGCAGCTTTACAAGGTCAATCTCACAGCATGATAAAGATAAATATATTGAATGCTCATGCTACACGAATTTTCGTTTTTCCATCATTATCTGGGAAGAAAAATCACTTTAAACATTACCCAATTTGTTGATTGTACCTTCTGCTAAATTCTCAGATAAGCAGTATTTTCCAAGCTACATATCCTTGTCCAAATAACAAAACCCAAACATTCATTTGTGATACTCAGGTCATCTTTGCAAATTCAGAATTCAGCCATTGCTGAATTTCTATCCTCTGACTGCACGTGGCCTTGAGTGTAGCAGCAGGGAGTTGTGCTAAATACTCCGTCAGATTCTCAATTTATGGGTGATGGGGCAGCTCTTGCTCACTTTCCGTGCACCCCAGAAATGGAAGGGCTATATGAAGTCAAATTTATCACCAAGCCGTCTTTTTTGTCTCTGACTTGTACTACCAGGAGAATCTAAAGGAATACACAATCCATGAGAGGCTATCATGGCAAAAAGCTCAAAAATAAGGAATGAGTTAAGATGAAAATAATGTTAAATCTCTGGTGTAACACAGTTTCAGGTTTGTTTTAAAATTTCATTACATGCTTAGGTACACATGAAGACACATCATCAAAGAAAAGTGTCAAGAAAATACCAAAACATGACCAGGGTATCCTTGGATGCCAAGATTAAGGGTGATGGGGCTGAGGATTTAGCTCAGTGGTTCCACTGCCTGCCTCACAAGCGCAAAGACCAGAGTTCAATCCCCGGCACCAAAAAAAAAAAGATTAAGGGTGATGAATTTACCCCTATTTTTTACTTTTGTGCATTCCCTACTTTTTCTGTGATGAGTGTGTGCCTCAATTATAACCAGAAATCTATTTTTTTTTAAAGTTAGGGACTATACCTTCAGAATGTCCTTCATCGGTCAGCCCACAAGTACATAAGCCTGAGAAGGGGAAAACATCCTGACGAGGACAGGCCGAGGCCTGCGGTCTCCTTGAGGGCTGGGCCTTAGCTGTGCTGCCTCCACCTGGCTGGTGAGAAGCAGAAGTTGGTCTGTGTTCATCTGCGCAGCTCGATTATTGCAGATGTGCTGTCTTTTGCATTAAGGATGTTGGTTCTGTGGAGGAGAGAAGTTTAAGAGTCTTGCTGCTGTGGATGTAATGAGGTATGAAAGGTGCTTCCTAACCACGGGCCACAGACAATAATAGAGCCCATGTTGGTTGTAGCTACTCTGTCATTCTAGAAATGGCTCTTGAACTCAATTTGCGCAAACCTCTTGTGGGAATGATCATTACCAGCAAGACTAAGAGCATGTGGCTTTTGTAAAGTAGAAAGCAAGCCTGCTGTCTATACTGCCTAGAAATTTCTGGAATCATTTCCTCCAAAGCACTCTTGTATGGCTTTTAACTTTATGCTCCTTTTACCCCTTCCCCCTCTACAATGTTCTTTCTAAATCAAGGGTTTGACTCCAAGACAGTCTTGTTCAATACTCCTCGAAGGCTCCTCCCCTTCACCTGCCCGAGCACATCTGGGGCAGGACATGGTCTATGGGGGACCCATCATGGCAGAGCGTGGTGGCTTTGTGAGGCAGAGTCATGAATTATTCACCTCTTGTCCAAATGCCCAACACTGGGCCATACAACTAGCAGGTGCACTCTAGGTCCTCAGTGAGAGGTGCTAGGAGGGAGTTTTTGCTACACACCTCTGTGGCCTCCCTCATTCATCACCTGACAGAACCCTTGGTCCAGAATTCAACAGACAGCAAGTGAATGAATGAAAGAGTGATGAACAAGTGAGTGAGGAATTCTGAATGGCAGAGAGGACACCCCTGAGAAGTAAAGGCATGTCATTACTATCTCCATCTTGTTGACTACAATTTGGTAAGTTTATACATCCCAGAAAATAAAGTCAGAAAGCGGGAGAGCCTTTTTTTTTTTTGGTACCGGGGATCGAACTCGGGTCCTTGCACTTGTGCAGCAGGCAGCGAAACCACTGAGCTAAATCCCCGGCCCGAGGAGAGACTATTCTTCAATAAAAATTCAATGAGCATGAAATATGCATCAGGCCCTGAGTTCAGAGCTCCTTTTGCTCTGTTTGAATCCAGTAGTGTGTGTGAGGTTACACAAACTCCATTTAGCACATTCTGAAGGTGAGGACCCCGGAGGCTGCCAAAGTGGAGCTCACTAATAAAGTGTCAAATCATGGCCATTTGCACAAGCAGTGACAATTTTCTTTTTCTTGGGTGAGTCCCCTGAGTCAATCTTACGAAGTCTGTCAGTGCTAGAGTAGAAAATGGTATTTAGTACACTCCCGAAGGTCCCTTCACTGCTTTTGAAAAAGGAAGAAAGGTCCAGGGTTACGGAATAACACTTTCACCGCATGTCTTGGCCAGATTCTTCTTGCCCAGTAAAAATGGAGGACATCTCTTTTAAATCACTGGGTTAAAGGAAATTCATTGGTACCTATATCTGAAAAGCCCACAGCCATTGCTGGCTTCAGGTATAGGCTTGTAAAGGATATCATCTTGATTCTAGCTCTGTCTATCTCATGGCTTTTGCTTTCCTATGAGACCCCTTTATTCCTTGGTAGATTTTTGATAAAATGGCCACTGGAAGCTTCAGGATTCAGTGTAGCACAGCCTAGGAAAGAGAGCTTGTCTTTGCCAACAGTTCCAAAAAAAGTCTCAAAGCTAACTCTCTCCACCTGATCAGCATCATGGCTTAATGCTGATTGATCCCTGTGGCCAATGGGATACAACATGCTCACTAGGTAATTTTAGGTCATGTGAGAGCAAGGAGAATGGGGTTGACCTGCCTCAATCACAAGGTTCCGAGATCGAAGCTAGTCACGTGGCCAGTATCTCAAAGGAAATTAGAAATGTGGTCCCAGACAAACAGGTGCTGTGTCAGCCACAATAGATGCCCGCTAGAGCTGCTGATCCCAACCCTTTTCGGTAAACCCAGGCCAGTTCACTGAGCACCAGGGTGAGAACTGGAGGACACATAACAGAGCATCAGGACTCAGTCCCCACTCTCACACAGGACAGGAGTCTTGTGTGTGCACACAGGATCATGCAGAACATCTAGCTATGTGTACCAGGGGAAACACAGAGCTGGCCAAAAACAGACCTGAGTTTCAAGGCTCAGCTCTGCCCCTCTCAAGCACTGTACCTTAGGCAGGTCCCTAAGCCCTCCAAGCAAATGAAGTTTCCTCTCCTAATGAAACGGTTAAACTAAACTGAATGGATGTGACAAAGGGAGCTGTTCATGGTCCAATAAGCTTGGGAAGTGTTTGGGGCTCTGTTATAAAAGATATTTGTCTCCTTTCCAGAAGCTGACCTGATTCCTTGTGTTGTTGCTGTTGTCATTAGAACACCAATTAATATCCCTCATAACACTTTTAGGGACGCACTGGGCCAGGAGCTCTTTAAGGTTTGCCTTCTGTGGGTTCAGGCATTGAGGCCACATGAGAGCAAATGCTAGAAGGACTTGCAGGCTCCCTCTCTGGATGGTCAGGGCAGATGCTGAGGTTCCCAAAGGGAGACAGGATGGGACCCGCAGGGCAGCAGGAAGAAATCGGTCCAGGGAGTCTGAGCAGAGGTGTGGAAGGGAGGAGAAGCCACCCTGGGATGTGTGTGTGTGTGTGTGTGTGTGTGTGTGTTGAAGAGCAATGTGACACTCAGAGGAGGATCTCAGCATGTTAGCAGTAGTTGTCTCTGGGATTATAGAAAATTTTAATTAAATTTTTTCCTTTTCTAACTCCCTACAACATACATATTATGGGTTCAATTAAAATAATAAAAGGAAAGAACAATTTAAAAATATTTTAAGACACCAAAACTATACAAACCAACTGTGATGCTTTTTCTATGTCCTATGTTATATTTGAATAAAAGAGAAGTGTTTTTACATTAACAGTAACTTTGAGGCTTCTTCCTTAGGCTCTTGTCATTGGCACTTTTTCATAATCAGGAAGAAAATATAAGGAGGACAGTTATGAAAAAGAATCCATCCTTTCCTCAACCTTTCATTTTTCCTTTTGCTCCCTAACTAACTCGTTTCTGGTGTTCTGGCTCCTGAGAGGATGCCAAGGGTAAAGTGAATGCCACCCTCAATGTGCAGATGACATTACAACCGGAATAAATGTAAGGGCAGCACGTCCCTTTAGAACACAGACCACACTGAGCTGAACAGGACTGAGGACAGATGACTGTCCATATTGGGTGTCCTAACTCTAGGATGCTCGGCAAACCAGCTTTACAAAGGCATAAATAGACAATAACAGCGATGATGATCCAATAACAGTATCAATTAATCATTACATTAGCAACTAATATTTTGTGAGGGCTTATAAGACACTGCAGTAATATCTTTATGTACCTCCTCTCATCTGATGCTTGTAACCATCCTGGCAGGTAAGTCTTATCATCGCTCCCATTTTATAGACAGACAGCACAGGAGAGAGAAGTGGGTAATGTGCTTGAGGTTGTAGGCTTGCAAAACAACCAAGTCAGGATTCTCTTTTGTTTTGATTCCAGATCCTCTGTTCGTAATCCTGTGTACCCACTGTGTAAGTGGCACATATGCAAAACTGGATCATAATTCTGTGATTGACAGGGTGTTAAGTAAAAGCGAATCCTAATTCCATAATTGGCAGTGTGCAGGCTAAACTACTACAAAAAGATTCCCCAAAATATAGAGGGTTAAGTATGGTGGAAATGCATTTTTTTCTTTCTCGAAGCAGCGCCAAGGGTGGGGTAGTCAGAAGGGGCTTGTGACCACTCAAGACTGCCGACCTCAACCTGAATCAGCTTTTAATCTGCAGCTTCTGTGACCCAGGCATAAGGCCACTGCCCTGGTTGTCACCACTTCCACCTGGTAATAAGGGGGTCACAGTGGAGGTTCAGAGTGAGCAGCTTGTGTTTAGGCTGGGGATGGACTGCAGGGTGTGTACATCCCCTCTGCTCGTCTCTCTGGCATGCACTTAATCACATCCGGCCCCAAGGGGGCTGGGAAATGCCATCTGCGGCTGGGTTGCCCTGTGTCCACCAAGAGTCAAAGATGGTCCAACTATTAAAAGGAGAAAAGGGAGAAGGCTGGACCGTCTCCCCTATGATGGTACCTTACAAAGTTAAAGTTAGACTTTTAAAGTGAGATTCACCCGGTTCACACAAGGAGCTGTGTCATGTAAAAGCAGGGAGCCGAGGCTCAGAGAGTTTAAGCAACTCTGCTAGTATCCTTCATCTCATTATGGAGGAACTGCATGTACAGCCTGTCCTTTGGTTTTCAATTCAATGGTTTTTTTTCAAATGAATATTTCAGTTAAATGGAAAAGGAAATCAAGAAATTTCTAAGTTGTGCCAGATAAATGCAGCGACACTAAAAAAATGCCTGATTATAACGTTGCTTGGATAGTGAACAGAGGTTCAAAGGGAGCTGATTAAATGTCAAAAAGAAAAATAAGGATGTTCATCGAGTTTTAAAACTAAACAAGATATCACCAAGATCAGCTTCCTCATTTCCATAAACAAGGTAACTTTCTCTCCAGAAGTCTACTGATTTCTACATTCACGTAGCTTGCATGAAAGAGAACACTGAGCTTTTCCCTCCAGATTTACAGTGTTTCTTCTTCTGAACTTCTAAGTCCTTTCTGAGAGGCATAGTCTCCCTCAACATCATAACATTGGAGCCCAAGAGGCGCCCAGGAAAGCCTCTCCACCCCTTGGGGCATTATCTACAGAATCTGTTACTCTGATCTGACTCCCATTCAGAAGTTCCAATTCCACAATATCCATTTCTAAAAGGTCTTCCTTCATCAAATACAAAGCTAGGGGCAACGATTCCTGTTCCCAGGAGGTAACAATTTAGTAACAAAGAATAGAAGCAATTAACCAGAGAATCATGTAAAATGATACAACAACTGGATATAAAGCAACTGCTATTTATTTTCTCAGAAAACATAATCCACATACCATCAGTGTCCAGTAGATCCCTGCCACATGGGCGAGTAAGTATACCAGGCTGGGCCAATGATAAAGCCCCAGCCCTCTGATCACAGTGCCTGGCACAGGAGGGCAAGTGACTCATGCCAGCCCAGGTGAGCCCCTCCTGGGCATTA